CCATTTTCTCTTTTTTGATAGACATGAGTTCAACAAATATCTCACTTTGCTCTTAGCTCTACTATAAGGAAAATATTAATGCAAGCTTGGTGATAAATCACAGTTGATATCTGGCATCAGAGTCAAGGAGCAACAAGGAAGGGTCAGAACTGTGAAGAAAAACTGAAGAGTATATATCTTATCTAACGGGTGTGGTCACTACTGTGAACCAGCTTAGTGTTCCTATAATTTTTGAGGGCACTCAAAGAAGTAATAATTAGATTCCCTGATCTAGAGGAATTTGCAGGAGGATATAAACTGAGAAAAGGAAAGATGGGTTCCAGTTCTGGCTCTACCTCTAAGTCTTTCAAGATTTAAGTTATTTAATCTCTCCGGAGCTCGGTTTCTCCCTCCGTAAAATATGAGAGCTAGACTAAATAAACTCTCAGTTTCCTTCTTGCACTGAAATGCTGGGATCCTATCTTCCTGGGATCAAGGAGTCAGCTATTTGGGCGAGAAGATGGGATGAAGGTGAGGTGCTGATAGTTTAGCATACTTTATAGAATAGTAACTCTCAGTTATTTCTCCTTTGCCCTTCTTTTCCTCTTAGTTCAAAGTTCTTCCTCTTCCAAGTAATCCTACCCTCATTCATCTCCCTTCAGATGGATTCCTACATCATTCAATCAGATCAGCACAGCCCAGCCCAGCCCACAAACTGGGCTCTCTTGCATTGGACTCATTAAGCCCATGTCACCATCTTTTCTCCGCTCCCCCTGGACATCCAGAAGACTAAAACCAAATGTGATACCTCTCTGAATCACCCATGGGCCTACCATGAGGCTTGAGGCTAACTCAAACTGCTAAGAACTGGAAAAGAAGGGTCCGAGCCTACAGAAAGGCTCAGGCACATGGCAAGAGAATCCTGGCTGAACTCCATGAGGATGTGGAAATCACAGCCCTTTGTGGATATTTCTTAGGGTCTCAAGGAAAAATACCGTCTATTTTAACAGTACTGGCGCTGGCCAGTGGATGGCTGAAGTGACACAGTGCACAAGACCCGGGCTTAGGCTACACTACTGAGATAAATAAGACCTGGGCCTATCCCCAAAGAAGTCATTATCTTGAAGAGGAAGAAGATACATATACAGTAAAACTGTGAGGCAAGGCTATTGTGCTAATAGTTGCAACGGTGATGCTCACAGGGTGGGAGAATAGAGGAGAGAGGTATCATTTCTGAACCGGCTAGCAGAAGTCATGAGGGAAGACTTCCAGGAGGTGGCACACTTGAGCTGATGCTTGAAAGTCAAAAGGATTTAGACAGCCCAGCTGAGATGGGGTAGGGGAATTCTAGCAGAAAATTTAACAGGAGCAAAGGCTTATTTGGGCAACAGAGTAGTAGAGTGTGGCTGAAGCACATAAAGCCTGGGGAAGAATAACATGTAAAGCATATAAATGGTGGCTGCAGCCAGATCTTACCATTTCAGCAGCCAGGCTAAAGAGATGGGGCTTAATCTTAGAGACAAAGTAAACAGATGCAGAGGACTACAGGTGTGTACCACTACACCTCGTTAATTTTTTAATTTTTTGTAGAGACAGGGTCTTACTATGTTGCTCAGGCTGATCTCAAACTCCTGGGCTCAAGCAATCATCTCACCTCAGCCTCCCCAAGTGCTAGGATTATAGATGTGAGCCACTGTGCCTGGCCAGAGCCCTGTTTTAATCTGCCTTCAGAGACCTTGCTCAGCAATCTTCCTTGACAAGCTGACAGAAAAAGGGAGGAAATAATTACAAACAGAAAAAAGACACAAGCTTAGCAAGCAAGCATTATTTCCTCCTCTGACCTAGGGACCAGAGAGCCTACCATATTCAGTATGCCCTTGGCTAGGTGAGATGAGGCGCCCTCTCTGCCCAAGACACCAGCACCCTGACTTACGGCAACAGCCAGTCTGAAGCAATGCTAATGTCTTTCCCCCAGGGGCCGCACATAGGTCAAGTACAATGTCCCCAGGCTGCACGCCAAGGGCCAGGACAGGCAGCAAGGAAGCAGCATCCATCAGGTAGTAGTCCATGACACCCAGGCTGCCAAGTCTGAAAGAGAAGAGATCACCTTATTATCAAATTCCAGGTTAGGACACCCACTGGGAGTCAAGGCCACCAAGTACATGCCCTCAGAGGCCACTGAGCTCCATTCAGCAAAAACTCATTTCTCAGACCCACACTCATTTATTCATTCACTTATTCATCTACACAGAAGCCAGAGTGATCCTTTTAAAACATAGATCAATTTACTCCAATAAGCAGCTGTGGTTGCTTACCTAATTACTCTCAGAGTGTCCTCCCTGAGGAGGAGTCCCCTGAGTAGGTGCCAAGTACCTCAATCAACTTAGGAGACCACATGGTTCTTACTCCATGGTTCTGCCTATAGCCAATGCCTCTGAATTGGTCTCCAACCTGGCCCAATCTATCACCCCCCTACATAGTGACTAAAATGATCTTCCTGAGCATAACTTTGATGGAAATACCATCAATACAAAGAAGTACTATTGACGAGTGCTGTATTGCTGGGTGTTTAATATGCATAATTTCATTTCATCCTCACTATAACTCTATGAGGGAGGTGAACCCAAATTCGAGAGCCAGATTGCTTAGATCTCAAACCCAGCACAACTGCTCATTAGTTGTGTGACTTTCAGCAAATTACTTAACTTCTCTGTGCCTCAGTTTCTTCATCTGCAATAAGAGTATTTACCAGATAAGAGTTACTGTGAGGACTAAGGAATCAACATAAGTCACCTGCTTAAAACAGTGACTGGCACATAATGAGCTACAGAGTTAGCTATTACTACTATTATTTTCCACATTATTTTCCAGATAAGGAAACGAAGGCTCATTTGTCCAATGCCACATGTCTAGTAAGCGGTAAAGGCAGGAGCAAAATCTAGGTTTGCCTGACTCCAAAGTCCATGCGTACAATCACTGTGCATTACTGCCTTTCGCCTGCTCAGAAACTCTTTTCAGCAGTTCTCTGCAACAGATCTTGGCAATTCATAGCAATATATACTAAAGGGGACATGACCCAAAGCCAACTGGCACTGGCAATCCCAGCCATCTGCAAGCAATCCTGTGCCACCAGAAAAATCCCCTTACCCCAACTTGCAAGTTCCTGGCATTCAAGGTTCCCACATACAGACCCACATATGCTTTTACAGCCTCATCTCTCATTCCTCGTAAGCATACAGCCTTCCCTCAAGACAGTAGCTAGGACTACTTTAAAAGCCTCCTACTTTACAAACCCATTTCTAGCCTTGACCTTCTCCAATCTGTTTCCCACACAGTAGCCAGAGTCATATTTTTAAAATTCAAATCTGGTCATGTCATTCCCCAGCCTAAAACCTTTCATGGCTTCCTCTTCCTCTAAGAGGAAAATGTCCAAAATTCCACAGCGCCTGTAAGACCTTCAAAATCTGTCTCCTACCTGCTTCTGAAGCCTCATATTTAGCCTCTCACCCTGATCCCCACCCCCATGCCACCAGCTTTAATTCCTACTCAGTTTTCAGGTTTTAGCTTAAATATCACTTCCTCAGAAAAAGCTGTGTTAGATCTCCTAATTATAAGACCTCAGAGCCTCTTATACTTTTCCTTTGTAGTACTTATCACAATTATAAATAATATTTTAATAGTTTTCTTTCTCACTAGACAAGAAGCTCCATGAGGACTTGTGCACCAAAGTACTTAAATGTCTAGAATTTGGTAGACCGGCCCCAGCAAGAGCAAGACCGCATCTCTACAAAAAATAGTAAAATAAGCTGGGCATGGTGGCACGTGCCTGTAGTCCCAGCTACTGAAAAGGCTGAGGCAGGGGGATCGCTTAAGCCCGGGATTTTTAGGTTGCAGTGAGCTAGGGTGACACCATGGCACTCCACTCAGGGCAACAGAGTGAGACTCAGTCTAAAAAAAAAAAAAAAAGAGCGAATAGGACAAGTAACTCCACAGTACTGAAGAGGTAATGGGACTTTACTAGGAAATGGGGTTGGCCTAGGGACAGAAAAGTTGGTACTAGACTGGGAAAAAGAAGGGGGAACTTCCAATCTCTTGATCCAATTCTCATGTATAAGAAGTTGAGAGAAAAAAGATTCTAGAATCAAATACTGAATTGTGCTTTAGAAACTGAGAAAAGGAGAGCTCAGTGTTAGTTGTAGGATGTGGGAATTGATCTTTGAAGTACTGACTAATTAATTCAACAAGTTATTTTTATTTTTTTTTTTAGAGATGGGGTCTTGCTATATTGCCCCAGGCTGGTCTTGAACTCCTGAGCTCAAGTGATCCTCCCACCTCGGCCTCCCAGAGTGCTAGGATGACAGTCATGAGCCACTGAGCCCGGTCCCACTTTTTTTTGTTTTTAACACAGAGTCTCGTGGGTGTGGTGGTTCACACCTGTAATCCTAGCACTTTGGGAGGCTGGGATGGGAGAATCACTTGAGGCCAGGAGTTTGAGACCAGCCCAAGCAAGAGCAAGACTCCATCTCTATAAAAAATAGGAAAATTAGCCAGACATGGTGGCACATGCCTGTATTTGCAGCTACTTGGGAGTTTGAGGCAGGAGGATCGCATCAGAGCAAGACCCTGCCTCAAAAAAAAAAAATAATAAAGAGTCTCATTCTGTTGCCTGGGCTGGAGTACAGTGGCATCATCGTAGCTCACTACAACCTCAAACTCCTGGGCTCAAGTGATCTTCCCTCCTCAGCCTCCCAAGTAGCTGCAAATATAGGCGCACACCACCACACCTGGCTCCTTCTCACTTTGATGGGTGGCCGTGAGGGCAAATGAGAAAACTGCTATGAATAACACACATTTTAACATGAGAGAGTACAGCGAGTGCTCATGTAAGAGGTGGCTGTTTTCCACAGGAGGCAGTAGAGCACAGCAAGTTCAAAGTGCAGGGTCTGGGGTCAGACCACCCGGATCTAAATACTAGCTGCACCACTTACTATCTGAGGGACCTAAAGCAAGTGAGTACCTTAACATCTCTGCACCTCACTTCCCCTAAATGTAAGAGAAGGAATAACATCACCTACTTCATAGGGCCATTAACAGAACAAAAGGAGATAACATATGTACAGCACTTAGAAAAATGCCTAGCCTATAAGGACGCCACAAATATTAGCAATATTATGATACTTATTACAGAGGGAAGAAGCTGGGTCTCTTCATGTCTACTTCCAGCAGGCACTCAGGATGGCCCCAGACACAGCTCCCGATCCTACCTGGCAGGAGGGAAGCGGCCGACATCCCCTCTGGCAAAAGTGAAGCAGTGCAGGTTTGGGCTGCAGGCCCAGGAGGCTGGGGATGGGGCTCCAGATTGGCCGCTCTCAGGCTCCAGTTCCCAGTGAGAGATGGTTCCATTCACAAAGTCCCTGGCATTCAGCTGCTCAAGCTTAGCACTCACATGATCACAAGCAGCAAAGTTATTGACCAGTGCACCATACTTCTGCTCTGAGAGGAGACTAACACGGATTGATGGCCAAAGATCCCCAAACTGCATACTGTAGGTCATGTCGAAATTCTGCAGAGCCAGTCGAACAGCAGGGAATTTGGGCTCTGTGGCAGCCTAAAATAGAAAGGACAAGCTTATTGGTTTTTCCTGTCTTGCCTCTGGCCCCTACTACCTGACCCCACCTTGGAGCCCAGGGGCAAACGTGGATCCAACTAGTGCCCATTCCTGCTTTTGCATCCTGCCTCTGCCTGCCAGAGAAGAACTCTGGGAGAGAAAAGTAGTGGGGAGTGGCCTACCCATCTCAGAATTGTGAAAGAAAGGAAGCTGTAGCTCTCACAATACCATATGAAGATCATCAAGAAGCAGGGCCTTGGAGCAGGAGGACCTTAAAAAGAAAGGGAGCTCAGAAGACTCTTTTTTTTTTTTTTAAAGAGATGGGGTCTCACTATGTTGCCCAGACTGGAGTGCAGTGGCTATTCACAGGTGTGATCCCACTACTGATCAGCATGGGAGTTTTGACCTGCTCTGTTTCTGACCTGGGCCTGTTCACCCCTCCTTAAGCAACCTGGTGGTTCCCGGCTCCCCGGAGGTCACCATATTCATGCCGAACTTAGTGCGGACACCCAATCAGCATAGTATATTACAGCCCAGAGCTCCTGGGCTCAAGCGATCCTCCCACCTCAGCCTCCTTAGTAGCTGGGACTACAGGTGCGCACCACTGCATCTGGCAGCAGAAGACTCTTGAGGAGAGCCTGCAGAAGGCTGGAAGAGACTGTGAAGGCCATGAGGAAGCTTCAGCCTTAAAAACAAAAGATCCTTTTCCTCTGAACAGTCTTTCTATTTTGCAAAGGACTTTCATGTGTACTACCTTATGTCAGTACAACAGACAGCTCAATAGATTAAAAAATAATAATAACAACCTTCCACATTTGATGAAGAGATGTAGGTAACTTACCTAAGGCAGTGACTGGCACCATAATGCTCAGAATCACAGGGTTGAGGGTTGTTCTGGGAGAGTTCCCAGACCCCAGTAAGATGGGATAAGGAGAGGTCACATAATCTTGAGGTATGAACCAAAACAGGGACTTCTAAGATGACTGCTATGGGGGTAGCAGAGAAGGACATGAGTCAGGTTTGAAGGGCATAAGGGTAGAGTAAAAGGAAACGAAGACTTCAGATGAGGAATTCACAAGTTGGTCCTAGTTGCTGCAGCTGGGATGCTTCCTATGGCTGACAGTCTTGTTACTTTGACTTTTGCTCTGGTCTGAATTTTCGGTCAGGTCATAACTTTTGCTCTGGCCCTCATCTCTTGTTATGGTGAGGACTCTTGCTCCGATGACTTTTGCCACTGTGGGGACTCTGGGGACTCTTACTCCGGCTCCTGCTATGATGGGGACTCTTGTTCTGGCCTTGTCCTCTGCCACTTTGGGGACTCTTGCTCTGTCTTCGACTTTTGCCATGGTGGGGACTCTTGCTCTTGCCCCGACTTCTGCCAATTTGGAGAATCTCGCCTTGACTTGTGTCTTGGTAAGCACTATTGCTCTGGCTCTGAATTCTGTTCAGATGAAGAGTCTGGCTTTGATGGGTTATCTTGCTCTGGCTGTCACTACTCTGGCATTCACAAATAACAGTCGAACTACAGCTGAGATTAGTACTACATCTGGAATCCTTGGATGAAGGCAAAGGGCAGCTGTAGGGAATCTGGAAGGACTCTTTGCAAGAGTCTTGACAGGCCACAGAGCAGGTATGGAAGCCACAGGGCATACTACCAACGCAGGTGCGGGCTCGGGGGCCAATGGGTAAACTTTGGGGGTCAAAGGGTGTTCTTAAAGGTATAAAAGAATAGATGTGGGTAGAACAAGGAGGCACCACAGGCTGGCAATGAGATTGGGGTGGGCCCCTGGGAGTGCTATAGGTGCCACAGGGGGGCACTATGGGACGCTTATGACATTGAGCAGGGCCTGTGGAGTGATTGAGGGAATCAGAGACCGGGCAGTAATGAGGGGTGGAGGGAACCACGGAATATACATGGGTATTGCAGGGGAACCTTATGAGGGGCCCACGGGGGCTGCTGTGAGCATAACCATTTGGAAAGACAGGATCACAAGGAAGGCGGAGGGGAAGGCAAGTGGGGAGAATGGTTTTGAGGGTTCTAGGGACCACAGTGGGTAAGGGAAGCCCTGGGGGAAGTTCTTTGGGGCAGGACTTTGAAGGAGTTGTAATGGATGGCTCCATACAAGAAGGACCAGAAAGGCCAGAGGGGCAGGAGGGAGGCGGAGGAGAGGTGCTGGTCTTACGGGGCTTGGGCTGGCCAAGAGTGCTATGCTGCAGAGTATTGACTAGGGAGTGACACTTGTGGGGAGTACGTGACTCCCGTAACTCTGAAGATTTAGGGGACTTCACTTGGGGGGAAACTGGGGTGGGGAGAGGGGGTTCGTTGTAGCCTCTGGTGGGGGGTGACTGGGGCAAAGACATAAACTGGTTGCCCAGGGGTGAAGGGAAGGAGAGGGCAGAATAAGGACAGTGGAGAAAAGATGGTTCTTGGGGACAGGGGGGGCCAGAAATTGTGGTACCTGGGGTTAGGAAGAAGTAAGAGTTCCCACCAGCCTCCCAGGAGAAAAGGGACTCAAAGCAAGGCTTTTCAGGAGCCTGGGACTGGTATGAGCAAGGAGAACCAGTACTCCCAGGGGGCAGTCGGATGGCACAGTGAGGACTTCCAGGGGCAGGTATGTAGGAATCTGAGGAAAGATGAGAGTAATGATAAGTGCTCTCCTGAGGTAAGCTGGGAGAGGCAGACATGCCTGCCTCCGAAGGGAGGCCACAACAATTTTTCTCAAGGGGCAGGTCAAGCTGTGGTTTAGGTTCACCAGAGTCTGTAGGCTTAAGACAGCCATGGTACAGGCTGTCAGTAGGTGGGGAACATGTTGTGGGAAGAGAAGGGTCGTTATAACTTCTCCCTGAGGACCAGTGAGAGATCAGAGGTGACATCGTCAGCTCAGTTTCCACAACTCTGTGAGACAGGGTTGGGGAGACTATAGGTCTAGTTTCCACTGGCCGGTGAGCAAGGGGAGGTGACATTATGAGGCAAGTTCCCAGGGTCCTATGGGTAGGAGGAGGTGAAATTATGGGGCAAGTTCCCTGGGACTTTTGGGTGAGGGGAGGTGAAACCATGGGGCCAGTTTCCAAGGATACATGAGTGAGGTGAGGGGAGGTCACCGGGCTGGTTCCTGGGGGCTGAGGAGTGAGGGTAGGGGAAGTCATTGGGCTGGTTCCCAAAACTGAAGGGTATCCACTACAGTAACAGATGTAAGCATGCTGGTCAACGTAAGGGCCTCGAGGACAGGGGCGCGGGATTCTTGGGGGACTGATCCAGCTGCAATAAGGGTTCCGCTGACGGAGAGGTGGTGACCCCAGAAGGCTAGATCGGTCAAAATAAGGACTTGGAGGGGCGGAACCCGAGAGGCTGGGCCCATGGCAGTAGTCCCTTTCAAGGAGTTGGGGAGAAGAGGGTTCAAAAGAACATCTCACTGGGCGTATGGGAGGTTGCGGGGGTGGAGATGGGGAGGGTGGGGGTGGAGAGGGCATTGGTTGGGGTAGGCAAGGAGGCGTGCCAATTATGGAAGAAATTCCAGGGCTACCCGTGAGGCAAGAGAAAGGATTTCTGGAGAAGTGGGGAGTGGCCAGGGAGTGAGAGGAGTCGTTGCACCTTTTGCCTGCGTTTGGGGAAAGGCCGCCAGTATGGGCAAGGTGGTCGCTGTAACCTTTTCTGGGCTCCAGAGGCAGCTGGAGGGTGAGGAAGGGGCTGAATCCTTTCCTGCAGGGAGTCGGAGAAGGAGGGAAGGAGAGGTCTCTATGTTTTCCGAGGGGTGAGGACGGCCGGGAGGGAAGTTCAATGAGGAAAGGAGGAGAAGAGGTCATAAATTGGGGGGAAATGGGTGGGGGGAAAGGGAGGGAGGGAGGGGGAAAGGGAAGGAAGTGGAAGGGGTAGTGGGGGCCCAAGCTAAGCACAGCAGGGAAACAAGAGGCGGTGACGTAACTTAAAGAATGAGGACGAGGACGGAGGTGTGACATAACTTAGAGGGGCGGAGTCAGGAGGCTACCGACGTAACAAGTGGAAGAGACTAAGACTTGTGACGAAATAAAAGGGCGGGCAGACGCGGTGACGTAACAGACGCGAGAGGGAGGGGCCTAGTGACGCTCCCTGAGTTGGGTGAGAAAGAGGCCTAGGCGTTCTAGAGGAGCCGGAGTAGCGAACGTAACAGAAGGGGGTGGAAAATAGAAAGGCTGGAGAAGTTTCCAGAGAGGCGGCGGCCAGAGACTGTAGTTACTGTTCCCTCTGCGCCCCGAGTCGGACCTTACCCATTTCTTCTTATGTCGATGTCTCCGCGGGACCGTCGCGAAGTCCATATACTTTAGCAGCTTCCGAACACCTCTTAGTATCGGCGCGGCCATGTCAGCGTGCGCCGCTAGGTAATTCCGACCGGAACCGCCGGGGGAGACCCGCGGGTTCCGGGGAAGTGGTGAGCGCCGCCCTGGAGGGCAAGAGCGGGTAGAGGAGAGTGAATTATAACGGACACTCTCCTAGAGCTCCGCCCACCGATATATACCGGCCCCCCCCAACCCCCGCCCATGATCCCTTGAGGGCGCTGGAGAAAGAGCAGCCTGGCGCTGGGAATGCTTGGAAAAGTGAGAGGTATTCTGAAGCCCCTAACCCAGTTGGGGGATCAGAGAGGACAGTGAGCTAATGGTTGAGTACTGAAAGGGTTATCTAGGCAAAAAGGGACGGAAAGGGCCTTCTAGGCAGACATCGCAGAGGAAGATGCTGAGGTAGAGGAAAAAGAGACCAGACTTTTCGGCAGAAGTGGATTTGCAGTGAAGATAATGAAGCTTAAGTTTTAGGACCTGTCATTTGCATGGCCCCTTTCAAGGCCTTGTACCTAATTTTGTTATTACTTTTCTTAAAAACAGTCTTCTAAATTGTGTAAGCTTTAGGCCCATAACACTTGACTCCACCATTAGGGATCCAGTGGAGAGGAAGGACATGATCAGGTAAGTGTTTTTAAAAACGATCATCTGACAGTCGACAATCTGAGTAGACAGGAGTAAAGCAAGGAGATCAGATGAGAGATTAGTGTTATGGCAGTGAGAATGGAGAGAAAAGGAGGGATTCCACTTCCATATAAGAGAGAGAATTACAGGACTGATTGGCCCTATCCAGAATAGTATGTGCTACACCACCAATAGCTGTCTTCTTATCCTGCTTTTATTCTTATAATTCATTACCACCTGATTTATAGTCTGCTAAATTATAATTTGAGAGGTTAAAAACATTACTGTTACGTAAATATAAAATGAACATATGCCAAACATTTTATTCATCTTCATAAACTACTCATCCATTATTATCCTAAATAATGAGGGAACTAGTAAGATGGTAAAACTTGTTCAAGTGATAATTTAAGTTTCAGAAATTTAGATAATCAGCCAAAGGAATGCTGAAATGAATTTGCTCATAATTGCAAAAACATTAATATTGTACTAAATAATAAGCTAATGTTTGGGATTATCTTTTCTATAAGATGGAAATCAATTCTGTCTTTACTGGACAAAATTTATTTATATTACTATGGATAGGAATCATTTGCATTGCTTTCAGTCAAGAATTATTTGCATTGCCAACAGTTTTTACAAGTTAATCTCTATGCCTACAAAGGTGTAAATTAGCCTACTCAACAAAAAGTCAATCAAAGGTGTATCACAACACTACAATGAAAGAACACCCAGGAAGTAATCTTGTACCCACTTACAAATTCTGGACAATTTTTCTGGACATGTCTCCCCTCACTAGAATTTAAGATTTGAAAGAGCAAGGTTTTTCTTTAATTCATTGAGGGACTAGCACCTAGAACTACATGTGGTTGGCTCTATGTGGTTGGCCCACATAGTTGGCTCTCAGCTAATATTTATTAAATGAGTGAAAAATGAGAAACAGAGATGTGAGTATAAACAGTTTTTTCAAGTTTTTTACAGGGACCTAGCAGTTGTAAGATAGAGGGAGATATGTGTGTAGAGAAAGGCTTTCTTTCTTTCTTTTTTATTTTTTTTAAGCTCATAGACATTTAAATCCAGATGAGGATCCACTGAAGAGAGATTGAATACACTAGAGAGGAGGTATCCCAAACACACCTGTTACAAAGGCTTATACTGAATGTAGGAGCCACAACCTAGCTGTGAAGTGCCCTTTCCTGGCCCAGCGTCAGTCTACCCATCTATAAAATGGGAGAACAAGATAGGCAGGTTGGACTAGGTCAGTGGTTTTCAAACTTTTTGGTGTCAAGCCCCTTTACAGGCTTAAAAATTATTGAGAACCCGAAAAAGCTTTTGTTTATCTATTTGTCATCTATTATCTATTAATATTTGCTGGATTAGAAATTAAAACAAAAAATTTTTTAAATATTCATTAAAATAGCAATAATAAACCATAACGTGTTAACATAAATATCGTTATGAAAAATAATTGTATTTCAAAAAAGAAATTTAGAGAATGGCATTGTTTTACAGATCTCTTGCAAATTGATGTGTGGCTTAATAGAAGACAGCTAAATTCTCATATCTGCTTTCTCACTCAGTCTGTTGCCACAGGTGGTTCTAGGAGAAGTAGATGAAGAAAATCCAGCCTCAGATATGTAATTGGAAAAGGGAGGAGTAGTTTAAGAGTCTTCATAGATAACTATGAATATTCTTTGATACTACACCAAAATTCGACAAGCATAGTTTCCTTAAAGGTTAGTGGCAGTGTGGAATCTGAAACCACATTAAGAACTTTTCATACTCTGTTACATTAAAATCCTTTGATCTGTGCTGAACTTTGAGTGACTCTTTTGCCCGTGCATGAGTTCATAACATTATACAGTTATCTGGAAATTACTTGTTCACTGAGTTATACAGATTTTCTATTAATAGATGTTTCACATTCACTATACAATATCAAAAAATCACATTTGTTAATATCACTACTGATCTTATCACGAAAGTCTTTTAATGTTAGGAAGCTTTCAGGCTCACAATGGTGAGTACAAGTTTTTCAAAATCCTAATTTTTGCTCAAAAGTTGAATTTTCTCATTGGCAACAAATACTGTCAATTATTTTCCTTGAAGTAACAGGCTCACTTTGTTCATTTTTCAAGAAAATGCTAATATATTAAAATACAATTGATTTTTCTCTATTGATCTTGTACCCTGAGACCTTGCTGAATTCAATTATTACTTTTCGTAACTTTTTTTGGAAATATCCTCACATTTTCTATGCATATGGTTATATCTTTTATAAATAAAGACACTTTTACTTCTTTCTTTTCCATCTGTGTGTGTTTTTTTTCTTTCCTTTATTGTACTGGCTAAGACTTCCAGCACACTGTTAAATTCAAGTGGTAGCAGTGGACATCCTCGCCTTGTTCTCATTCTTAAGGGGAAAACATTCAGTATTTCACCACTATATGTGATGTTAGCTGTAGCATTGTGCGTGTGTATGTGTGTATGTATGTTTATAAATGTCCTTTACTAGGTATAAGAAGTTTCCTTCTATTCCTAGTTTGCTGAAATTTTTAACATCATGAATGGTAGTTGATTTTCTTCAGAATTTTTTTTCCTGCATCTATTGAGATGATCATGTAGTTTTTCTTTTGTTTTCTTTCCTTTCCAGCCCCCCCACCCCAAGACAGAGTCTCACTCTGTCACCTGGGCTAGAGTACAGTGATGCAATCATAGCTTACTGTGACGTCAAACTCTTCAGCTCAAGCGATCCTCCTGCCTCAACCTCCTTGGTAGCTGGGACTATAGGTGTGTGCCACCACACCTGGCTAATTTTTCTATTTTTTGTAGAGATGGGGTCTTGCTCTTCCTCAAGCTGGTCTTGTATTCCTGACCTCAAGCAATCCTCCCATGGTCTTCCAAAGTGCTAGGATTATAGGCATGAGCCACTGCACCCAGCTAGTTTTTCTTTTTTATTCTGATACTATGCTGAATCATATTGGCTGATTTTTTTAATAGGAAACAACTTTGTATTCTTGTTTTAAAAAAACCACATTAGTTCTGATATAATATGCTTTTTATATATCACTGGGTTCTTGCATTTGAGTTCATTAAGGATCTTGGCATGTAGTTTTCTCTTCTTGTAATGTGTTTGATGTTAATATCAGGGTAATGCTGGCTTCATAAAATGAATTTGGGAAATGTCCCTTCACTTCTATTTTATGAAAGAATTTGAATAGGATTGGTATTATTTCTTCCTTAAATGATTGATAGAGTTCAACAGTAAAGCCATCTTGGCCTGGAGTTAGGTGTTTCTTTTCTTTCTTTCTTTTATAGAGGTAAGGGGGATAGAATGAGAAGGAAGGAAAGGTTTTGTTTTGTTTTTTTGAGACAGGATCTTACTCTGTCGCCCAGGCTGAAGTACAGTGGCATGATCATAGCTTACTGCAGACTTCAACTCCTGGGTTCAAGTGATCCTCCTGCCTCGACGTCCTGAGTAGCTGGGACTGCAGGTGCAGGCCATCACACCCAGCTATTTTTATTTTTATTTTGTATTTATGTTGCCCAAACTGCTCTCAAACTCCTGGGCTCAAGCATTACTCCCGTCTCAGTCTCCTAAAGTGCTGGGATTATAGGCATGAGCACTGCACCTGGCCTCTTTTTTTCTTTTTTGTATTTTTTATTGATGTATAATAGTTGTACATATTTTGGGGGTACATTGATATTTTGATCCATGTATACAGTGTATAATGATCAAATCAGGATATTGGGATATGCATCACCTCAAACATTTATGTTTTCCTTGTGTTGGGAATATTACAATTCTTCTAGCTATTTTGAAATATACAATAAATTATTGTTAACTAAAATTTCCCTATTGTACTATCAAATACTAGAACTTAATCCTCCTATCTGGCTGTATTTTTATACCCATTAACCAACTTCTCAATTTCTTTAATTGATATAGGACAGTGGTTCTCAGCCAGAGGTAATTTTGCAATTTTGCCCCTCCCCCAGCAGACATTTTGGGTTTTTACAACTGGTGATACTTCTGGCATCTCATGAGTAGAGGCCAGGGATACTGCTAAACAGGAGGGCATTGCTCCCCCACAACAAAGAATTATCCAACCAAAAATGTCAATAGTGCTGAGGTTGAGAAACTGATAAAGGGCTATTTGAATTTTCTAATTCCTCTTGTATCAGTTTTGACAGTTTGCATCTTTTAAAGAATTTGTCTAATCTGTCATAGGATTAGAATTAAAGAAAAAAAGAAAACAATTTGTCCATTTCATCTAAGTTGTTGACTGTCTTCACATAAAGTTGTTCAGAGTATTTCATTGTTATTCTTTTAATGTCTGTCGCTGGGGGTGGCAAACTACAGCCACAAGCCAAATTCAGCCTGCAGCCTTTTTTTGAAATACTGTTTTAGTCTATAATCCCAGCACTCTGGAAGGCTGAGGTGGGAGGACCACTTGAGCCCAGGAGTTCAAGGTTGTAGTGAGCTATGATCACACCACTGTACTC